TGGTTAATTTGGTGCTAACTATCAACTTCTGCCTTAGTGGGGCAGGGTGGGGGAAGATGGGGAAAAAATTATACTGGAGAGAATTGGAGTAGAGAATCCTCTTAACAAGCATTGTAAAGTTACTTACTCTTTGAAAAAGCCATCCTAACAGGCTTTTCGAGGGAGATTAATTACAAAGAAAACTGTGTTAAAGTGGAGCTAAATCTAGCAACTACTTGTCAAAAGTACCAGAAGTAAATCAAAACTCAGAAAATATGTTAAAGTTTTTCTCAGCTCCCACTAAGCAAAAAAGCAAGAAAAATCCCCTCTCCCCCTTTTTAACACTTAGAAAGCCCCTGATGATCTCATGCACGTTGCCCCGTGTAACAAGTGTGGAGTGGGAAAAAAAGGCCACTAAGTTCTGAAGCCACCAGCCTTCTCATCCATAGATATGTGTGGATTAGAAATGGGAGAAGTGGTTTGCTAAAAATAAAATGTATCATAAAAATAACAGGAGAAAGCAGAGACAATTTTTTTTTTCCTCAGGGTTAAAAAGTTATAAAGCTTTAAAAAGTCTTGTACGCAAGTAACACATTCACACACTTCCAAAGCTGAGATTACATCCCCATGACGTAGGTCTGCTGACACTTTTCAGTTGAAGGAATCTGACACTTTATGAAGAATACTCGGATACAAGAAGAATCAGAGGCCTGTAGCCAAAGACAAGAGTTTTCAGAGAACTATGTTGCTGTCACTCTGCCCTAAGGAACACAGCTGAAAACAGGTTTTATAAGTCTCCTTAGGAGATGTCTGTTGGTGAAAGCATTTTGGAGGACTCTTTAGGAATGGAGGAGAGGGAAGAGGTAGAAAGCCCTCTTACAGGCCTGAGCTATGCAAAAGGATAGAAACCAAAAAATTTGGACTCATGGTAATTTTATGCATTCTGCTAAGGCTAGTTATCCCTGAATGATTGATTTTATTTTCATTGACTGCTTAGTTCAATCTAAGTTTTCAGTTTAGATATGATGACTCTTTTTCTAGGTTAAGATAAGAAAGGTAGAAGAGAGCCTCTGTGAGTCATTTTAGCCCAAAAACATACAGCTGCTGTTTGAATGTACACATCACAGAAAAGTACCTATCACCCCTGGCTATGTAAAAGCCCCTAAAGAGCTTCCTTTCCGTTACTAGCACTCTGCTGCTCAGTGACAAGGAAAGCAATTAAGGTGTGTGCAGGAAGCTAAATGACTAATGACTTTAATTTCCTGTAAGACACACCAAAATTTTTATATAGCAAATGGATTACTTTTAAGAAGGTGCATATCCAGGAGGAGAAAAAAAAAAAGTTTGAAAAAAATTTGGGCATTGCTTTGAAAAATCTCCAGTTTTCTCATTATTCCTTGTACGGGAAGGCAGTGCAAGACGTCCCTGGCAGCAGAACTGATGTAGGTGTGTGGTGTTGCTTAAGTGTCAAATTCTGAGAAGTGATCCCCACTTCTTATAAGTATACCAGGAAGTTCATCTCCAAGAGCAGTACCAGAGGACTTCCATCCAAAAGTGTTACTTTTCTGTCCTCCCTCACTGTATCAGCATAGCTTGTTTGTATAAAAGCGTAAGCAAGAGATGGAGATGTTAATTCATGTGAGGGAAGGCTGTGTCTGTGCACGCACTGTGATTGCAGGCATTCAGTAAACAAACATGCAAAAAAAAAATTACCTAAGTTTTACTGATATTAATAATTTAGAAAAACATTTCCTTCTTTCATTATATTCCATTTTCTGCAAGACTCTCTGGACATTTTCTTTCTTGGTGTGTGCTCTATGCTTTGCCAGTGATGTGCAGTTTCTCTGCTGTGCCCAAGTGCCATTTGTGGTTGCGTTAGGGCTGTGGTAATTTTCACTCTCCCTCTTCTCTTTACTGTTGCCCAGTAGAGTGGCTTGACTTCTCTGGTCTAAAAAGGGGAGATTTGGGTGCCAAAAGCAGGACGCAGGGTGTCCCTGTGGGTGCAGAGCTTTGCCAGGAGTGGCTGTGAGGGCAGGCGAGGAGGAGGGAGCCGAGCCTTCGCAGCAGGGCGAGCATCCTCAAGCCAGAGCAGGTTCATCAGAGTGTCATCTGTGGCCTTTGAGCGCGGCAGGGAGCGGGTGGCAGGGCTGATGCCATGCTCCTACCTCGCCCCAATGAGTCACAGTTCCTCCGTCAGCGTGGGGAGATGAAGGAGTCATTTCCCCACCAACTTCCTCCTGCCATGAGCGGTGTTTGCGTTGGCCTGCTCGTGCCCCAGCCACACCACGTACCTTCTGGGCTGGAAGCCTTCTGGTGCCATTGGCTTTCCTGGAGTGGCCAAAGATCCATCACACTGCCTCAGGGCCTCCCTACCCTGACAACTACCTCACTTCCAGACCCTTCTGCTGGCCAGGGCCTCCTGGCAGGCAGGCTGGTCAGGATGTCATGATCCTCCAGTTCTGAGGGCCAGGGCAATGCATGTTGCCCCCAGCTTTGTCCTGTGACTGCCCCCTCCCTTAGCCCAGCCCAACACATGGCAGAGGAGCAACAGAGGAGTGATGAAGGTGCAGGGCTTCACCTTGCTTCAGGGAAATCCAAACCAGACTGGACATACACATCCCTGACTACATTTTAGTAATGATTTTTTAATCGGACTTTCTATCTCATTTTTAGTGAGACGGTTCTCCCAAGCAAAAAGAAAACAAGTCACTAATTTGGCACATCCATTTGACAGCTTCTGTTAAAGCCTTACATTAACTTTAACCTTTTAACATCATTACATTGGGATTCAGGGAAGAGCTCCCTCAAAGCTTTGACAGCAAAGGAAAAGAGTCAGAGTGCTGAACGGGGAAGTTATGGGCTGAGCAACCATACCCACAGTTTCTCAAGTGCTAAACTGCTTTTTAGCAGCTGAAGCTTCTTCTCCAGGCGTAAATAAAGGCCTTCTTAATTTCAGTCTAGTAACTAATATTATATAAACTTTAAAACAGATGGCTGCTAAGAAGAAAAAAAAAAAAATGCTTTTCACCCTCCTGTCTCTGAATAGACTAGAGGATCAAAAGAAGTGGCTACTTTTAGAAGTGAGCAGACAGTCGTCATATTGGTTACTTCAGTTAATTAGCCACAGATAAAAATTCCTTCACCTGAGAGCCCAGTTTGAAATCCAAACCCATTTTTCAGTAAGTTAATATTTAAGATAATTAAAGAGTTTTCTGCATCTAACTAAAGCTACAGTCAGCATCCAAGCAGTTTCACACAAAATCATGAAGACTGAATTAATCAGCAATTAAATATCACCTTCTGGCAGGAAAAAAAAAAAAAAAGTATAGCAATAAAAACAAGCAGTCCTCAAATTATTAGAGAATTCCTTGAACATGTATGTCACTTGTTGCTAACATTAATAGATACAGTCAAATTTGTATTAAGCTGCAATTCAAAAGTGTTCAAAGATAACCAACTATTCAGAATTAACCTCTTTCAAAGTTCAAAGACAAAATTAAAAAGAAATTATTCTAGTCGAGGTATTTTGCATGCCAATTTAAAATGTGAGTTAATCTGTGATCAGTAGGCCTTGCGGATCAGTCCGTGCAGTGTGCCGTTGGTATGAGGATTTGGCAGTTCGGTTGTATCGCACCTCATTCCCCACTAATCTCCTTTCTGAAAAAGGTACACTGCTGTCCCTCTCCCTCACAACTTGGCCTGTTCTTTCATTTTGCCAAGGACAACGGCATTGCTCCGTTTCTTCCCTGGCATCGTTTTCACCCCCTTCCTCAGTATCCCACACACTATATATCTGAATCTTTTGTAAAATATGAAACAGTATTTTTTTTAATTAAAGAGGAGCAAGAACAGTGAATGCGGAGCTCAGGTGTTAGGACTTCAAACTCTTCAAGACAAGGACTGTCTTAATTTTTTGTTACAGGTCCACACAAATAGTTAGTAACACACAAGTAAAATAAACAGTGAAAGTGTTCAAATCGCTCCAAACTATCAGCAGAAACTGGGTTAAGAAAAGGCAGGCTGTCCTGTGTAATAGTATTTCTAGGAGGGAATCTAGTTCTCCGGCCAAGAAGCATTATGTAGCTCCATTATATAGATATCTCATACTTAGTGTATGCAAAGTATATACAGAATTCTCCACAAACCATGGCCAAGAGGAATACAAACTATAGCAGATCTGTCCTTCTCATTCTCCCACCTTAATCCCAAAACAGAAAACCAGAATGATTTGGCCTCTGGTCCACAGTGCTTTCTTATTATCATGAAAAGAGGTGGGACGTGACAGCTAGTAAAGTTACTACTGACCAGTAACAGGAGAAAAAAAAAAAAAAAAAAAAAGCACTATGCAATTTAACTTGACAGTGCATTCAAAGAAATGGATCAGGGTATAAATTAATTTGAAAGGAGAGTAATACTTCTTTGAGGAATATATAGGCAACGCCTACGAAAATGAAAAATAATTGAATGGAGAAACAAAGTGAGAAGATAATTTTAGAAATCAGGTATTTTTGGCAGAGATTAAAACATTTCATTTTTTTTTCTTCAGAGATGCATTAACACTGTTTAGTTTGCAAGCAACAGTAGGGTGGCAAGAAATTAAGAAAGATATCATTTGAATTAAGGAAGTTCTGTATGGAAGATTATTATTACTGGCTAAGAAACATCGGATTTAGGTACAGTGATCTGAGGCAGAGAAAGCTGTTCAAGAAAATAATGGAAGTTCCTTTGCTTTGCACTATAATTAGGCATGTGAGGTCATCTGTTACAACTCAGATGTATGGACCGGTTCTCAATCATTAACGTTCAAGCGATCAGTACTGGTAGTGTTAATAGCATTAAATCTAGTATGTGTCTTCATTGTCCATTAACACTTCTGAAGTAATGAACAATTTTAATAAGGGGGTGAACATCAGTATGTTTAGCAATAGAGTAACAGTACTGGTGTAACTTCGTGCTAGTAGTAAAACACACTTACAGTCCTTGGCAGTTTGTTTGTAAAACTTGCTGTTCCTCTCTTTTAGGTGGTTGCCTTAATTATCGAAACACAGTGCAAAAATGATACTGAAGCTCCAATACACACAGTGTACAATAAATTAATTACAAGGAGGATCATTGCTAAGAGGGAAGTTAAGTGTAGCCTGGATGAATACAATTTAGGTGTTCAATGTTGCAAGAAATGTGAACAAGGTGAGTATCATTACAAGACTGTGTTAAAAAGTCATTAAGATTGGAAACCACAAAGTGCACGACTATCATCTTCTGGGATAACTAAGTGGCATGCTGTGTTTTCCTGGATGCAATGCTTCATTGTAGTTGTATCTTTCTCTATTACAGGACATCAGACACTTCAAAAGTACTTCTTGAGCTCAGTGCACCAATAACCTTTCACTACAGATAGCAGTTCTCACATAACAAGCTTGTCACAAAAGAGCCAAGAATTACATACACATCTTAGAAAAAGGTTAAAAAAGTGCAAGCACAGGCTTTTGCCTACAAGTCTCCATATATTGAAAGGGTTTTCCAGTTTTGTCTGTACAGGTGTTTGGTGTGTTCTCCTTCAGTCGTAAATTAGAGGAAGAGGGAGGATAATCAAATCTTATGTGTACAACATTCCTGAAGTGCATAAATGTAAAGAATATAGATTCTGTTCATATCTGTAAATCAAAAAGTTCTAGGGAATAAAAAAAAAAGTCTGACATAGGTCTTAGAGCTGATGGCTTCTGTCCAAAGGTATTGCAAATCTTAATTCTTGTTTTTCTGTCTCTACAGGTTTTGTTAAAAATGTCGAGTGCCCAACCAATCTTGCCAAACACTGTGTTCCATGTAAAAATGGAAAGGAGTACATAGATCATGCCAATGAATTGGACAAGTGTTTGAGATGCTCTTCATGTGACAGTGTATTTGGTACATCTATAGAAATAGCAACTCTAGCAATTACTCTTTCTTGATACAGGATTTGACTGAAAATTCTCCACAATCCCTGAATAATGGGTAGCATGCTGATTAAAATATTTTAGTGGTAGTACATGAAGGAATTTATGACAAAGTCATAAGTTTGTCCTTCAATTCCCTGTGGTCAAGCACAAAGGAAGAAAAACAAGCTATGTTGGTCCATTATTTCTCCTTGTATCCACATTTACTTAGCCAAAGAAGTCCTTGCAAAGCAGATCCTGTACCAACTGGTTAGAGTCAAAGAAGAAAAGCTCTCTCTTCTTTGTCCTCTATTTAAAAGAAGAGGGGTGTTGTAATTCTCCCAGACATGGGAGAATTCCCAATGGTTTCTTTAGTAATCTTTCATGTAATCAATAATATTATTTAAAATTGCTGGAGCTGATAGAGAGATATATTTTACACACTGAAGATACTGTGTGGGATATAAGGTCAAATTATGAGACTGAGGCATGCCCTACTGGGTCAGACTGGCAATCCACCTACCCCACTATTCTGCACTCAGCAGCGGAGGCAAGAGATGCTATTTAGAGAAAACACAAACCAACATGTCTGATTTCTGTGGTCTGTTCCCTGCAAAGTCTACCAGCATCCACAGTTGTGGGAAAGGACATCAGAAGGTCCATTCCTACCTAGTCATTTTAGTGTCTCTTTATGAGCCCTTTGTGCATGAACCTGCTGGGGGACACCAGGTTCCAGAATGTCACTACCTGTTGCAGAAATACCCATCATAGATTTTTTTTTTTCATTTTAATCCATTAAAATTATCTCCTACCGGTTCTACCAGATGTCCTGTAGTTCTAGTATACTTGGATTTAGGGAATGATAGTTCTGCATTCCTCATATCCAAAATCAAGTTCGGTGAGAAGAGAGACAGCTCTTAACTCAATATGGTTGTACTCGGGTCACCTGCTGCAATATCAATCTTTAGTGCTTTTCCATTTCTGTAACACCTCCATATGCATAGAATTTTTTCTGCTCATTAGCTGCTATAATAACCATTTTTGGATGGGTAATGAAGTTGAGTACAACAAAACAATTCAGTATTTTGAATAGTGCCGCAAAGCAAACTGTTAGTTAAACTGAAGGGGAAAAAAAAAAAAAAAAAAAAAGACGAATGGGATGACTAGTCACATTATCCTATGGACAATAATGTAGTTGAAGAGAAGTCAGTAGAAAACATTAGGCAGGATGAAAATTACCACTGAAGTGCCATGAGAACCATTCTTAGGATCATTCATGTTTGATATTTATAGAATCATAGAATTCTTTAGGTAGGAAAAGATCTTTAAGATCATCAAGTCCAACTGTTAATCTAGCACTGCCAAGGCCACCACTAAACCGTGTCCCTAAGCACCACATCTACATATCTCCGCCACTTCCCTGGGCAGCCTGTTCCAATGCTTGACAACGCATTCAGTGAAGAAATTCTTCCCAACATTCAATCTAAACCTCTCCTGGTGCAACTTGAGGCCATTTCCTCTTGTCCTATCGCTAGTTACTTGGGAGAAGAGACCAACACCCACCTCACTACAACCTCCTTTCAGGTAGTTGTAGAGAGCAATAAGGGCTCCTCTCAACCTCCTTTTCTCCAGGCTAAACAACCCCAGTTCCCTCAGCCACTCCTCATAAGGCTTGTTCTCCAGACCCTTCACCAGCTTCGTTGCCCTTCTCTGGACGTGCTCCAGAAGCACCTCAATGTCTTTCTTGTAGTGAGGGGCCCAAAACTGCACTCAGTATTTGAGGTGCACCCTCACCAGTGCTGAGTACAAGGGGACAATCCCTTCCTTAGTCTTGCTGGCCACACTATTTCTGATACAAGCCAGGATGCTATTGTCCTTTTTGGCCACCTGGGCACACTGCTGGCTCATATTCAGCTGCCTGTCGACCCTCATCCCCAAGTGCTTTTCCACTGGGCAGCTTTCCAGCCACTCTTCCCCAAGCCTGTAGCACTGCATGTTGTTGTTGTGACCCAGCAGTTGGTCTTGTTAAACCTCATACAATTGGCCTCAGCCCATTGATCTAGCCTGTCCAAATCCTTCTGAAGAGACTTTCTACCTTCAAGTAGATCAACACTTCCACCCAACTTGGTGTCATCTGCAGACTTACTGAGGGAGCACTCGATCCCCTCATCCAGATCACTGATAAAGATATTAAACAGAGCTGTCCCAAATACTCAGCCCTGGGGAACACCACTTGTGACCAGCCACCAGCTGGATTGAACTCCATTCACCGACACTCTTTGGGCCTAGCCATCCAGGTTTTACACAGCAAAGAGTACATCTGTCCAAGCCACAAGCAGCCAGGAGAATGCTGTGGAAAATGGTGTCAAAGTCTTTACTAAAATCTAGGTAAACAACATCCACAGCCTTTTCCTCATCCACCAAGAGAGTCATCTTGTCATAGAAGGAGATCAGGTTAGTCAAGCAGAACCTGCCTTCCATAAACCCATGCTGGCTGGGCCTGATCATCTGTTTGGCCTGTATGTGGCATGTGATGGCATTCAAGACGGTCTGCTCCATAATGGTTTCAGCACTGGTTTCATAGCAGATCTTCATCAAATTTTTAAAGATAACATGGTTTCCTGTTACTGCAGGGCACTGGATGTGATAACTCAGAAATTCACTTCTATTCCTCTATGCCTATGAAAATATCTTTCATAGTAGGTAGTTATTTGCAGCAATATTTAATGCAGAAATAGTTTTTCATAGATGGAGATAGCTTCATCACATACACTGAGGATAGGAGAAAACTAATTCACTTGTTTTGATACTTAAGCAGGGAATATGTCAGCTAAAAAGAGAGAGTGGAATTCCTCATCATTGGAGGTCCCCGAGAAGAAATAAAACTTGTTGTCTGTCAGGGAGAGTAAAGAAGCTGTCTCTGACACCAAGCAGGGAGACAGGCTTATGTGATCTTCTGAGTTTCCTTTGGCTTTACACTTCTGAATGGGAAAAAGCAGCTGACAACATTTGGCAGTGCCAAATGAGCTCTCTTCTAGCAAGTACTTTATCTTGTGATCAGTTTTTTGAGCTCTTGGCCAGCAGAGGTCTCTGCCATCTCCATATTTCCAGTAGTCCGGCAACAGGGCTCCCTATGAAAGCTATGTGGTTCTTACAATTAAGCCTCACCAGTGCTAGCAGTGATAGAGCTAAAAGCACGTGAGTTTGAGGACAAGAGCTTGTGATCAGATGGGCTGCTTTTAAGGCCTACCTTTTCAAACTAACAAACTTTAAGAAATTTATTGCAGGTTTGGAGGTTGCAAAGAACTGTACCCCAGCACAGAACACAAAATGCTCCTGTACAAAGAACCATTTTTGCAATTCTTCTGTGCCATGCAGCCATTGCTATCGATGTACCATGTAAGTTTATGCCTTCATTGTTAAATATGAGATTATTAATACAAACTGAGGGAAAACATACTAGTTTTCGTTTGCACTTAGCTTGTTGAACTGACTTAGCACAGTCAACTTAACTTGCATCCGTGCAGGCTTTCCAAAAGTACGCAGAGTATATAACCACCGAGACTGTATATACTTTTCAAAAAATGTAATTAAGTGTCTGAGCTTTCCTGTTGTCTTTGTATGATCTACCATTTCATCTAGAAAATCATTTCCATACCTTTTTCCACTCCCATACCTTTCCATACAATTTTCATACCTGTTGAATTCCAAACTCCAACATCTTTATATGTAGGAAATATTTAGCTGATAAAAAGGATTAGAAGATTTTGATTTGCTCTCTTGACAAGTTATGAAGAGAGAAACAAATCCCCTAATTAATTTTTTCATGTTTTCTGCAGATGTGAACATGGCATAATTGAAAAACAATGTACTTCAACTTCAGACACTGTGTGCGGAATGAAAGGTACCATTTTAAAACCTAGCATGGTCTAGCATCTGCTGTGTTTTGAGAGGCTATAGAAATTGTACTGTTCTACACAATGGCCCATAGTGATTCCTGACAATGTAGGGCATCCTATCTACTTGACCCTGTACTGATCTGTGGAGCATGATGGCTCTTTTCCCTTGACCACTGTGCAGATGTAGGAGCTATTAATCCTTTTTAGAGGTAAAGATAAGAGCAAACCTTAGGAATAGGTAAGACTAACAAATAGGTAGCTTGTGCCATTAGGAGACAACAGAAAGGCTTTTATAATGTGACACAATCTTGTTTAAAATTTAGTGTGTTGCTATATCGCATTTCTTGGCTCACCTTTTATGTAGTGTTTCCAATGTTCCAACAGGAACAGGAGTGTCGCCGTGGGCCACTGCTTTGATAGTTGCATTAGCCCTGCTAGCACTAGGTGGAGCAATATTCTGGTGTAAGTGATTCCTTATTCTTGTTATATTCTGAATAAGATATTCAGCTGCATACTCAGCTGTAATTTTATATTCTTGGAGTCTAGAGGAGAAATAGTGTCTGTCTTGGATTTTAAAAATGCCTTTTTTTTTTTTCAGGGAAGAGAAAACAGAGGGGTCGTACTAGCAAGGAGAACCTAGGTGAAGCACTCCCCAAAACAAAGGCTTCTTATGTAAGTATTGTTGCTTAGATCACAAAAAACACAGCTTCATGCAAGGAACTTTTTCCATTTAAATTACATTGGGACTCCTCAAGCATGTGCATGTATCTCTTCATTGACATTAATGAAGTAAATTTCACCATGAGGACTCTTTTGGGAGAAGTAAGAGAAAACCTGAATTATTTCTTCAGGATTTGTTGACATGATTCTTAAGTTACATAAACAAGATCAAAACTTCATGAATCATTGGGCCTCCACTGACCCAGGGTACCTGTCCCCATGCATACTTTTAGGCAACAGCAATTGTGGGCTGATTCCTCAATCTTACCCAAGTCAAAAGAGGTCTGTCTGGATAATCTGATTCCCTTGATCATAAAACATAGAAAACTAAAATAAAATTACAGACGTCAAGTGTCATGAAATGTGTTTATCCTCTTATACAAGGTTAGCATTTTACAAAACGTGTTTGTACTCATTTCTGTGTTGCTTCTCTTTTCAGGAGAACATACCTCTCATAAACACAGGTAAGAGACAAGTAATTTCTCAAAATTCAGTAGAAGAAAAAAAAATACAGACATGTGAATCCTACACTAAAAAAAAGGGTATTTTTGCGCACAGCCTAGAGCTGTCATTCTAGCACAACAGTGAACACTTATTAAAGAAATGCCAGTTTGTATTGTGCTTATTAAGGCATTTAGTGGTATCATGACAGCTTTGCCTCAGGAGGGGTTTTTGTTGTATAGAAAGCAATTACTAATTGACAGGAGGTAAATTTCTGTTCTGCATGTGTACAGACACTAGAAGTCAGCAAGCTGGATTTCTAGTATCATGGATAATTATGATAATGGCATAGTCCCACATCCAACAGTGGGATCACAGAAACACAAACCTGCCTTATGTTCAAGGAAAAATCCACAGTAGTAACACCCAATAGGAAAAGAACATAAGCAACAAAAGACCTGTCCTGTTCCAGGACCTTTCCCAACCCTATTTTGAGCAAAACAGGTAAATGAGGGATGACCAGACTTTAATGTTAGAGAAGGACAGAATATGTTACAGAGGGAACTATGATTATATTTCAAGTAATAGAAAGCAATATGGATGCAACTCCAAATATTCAAATTACTTAGCATTTGGAAGGAACATGTAAAAGCAGACCTGCTATGTATTGTAAAAAATCACTTATAAAACATACTGAGTCATGAATACCTGAAACTTCATTTGTTGTGGATATGAACCTGAGCGCAGGTGGTAAAAACCAGTAAGATATAAGTGCCAAGAGCATCAATTTCCTTTTATGCTTCTAGATGTTGACCTGAGCAGCCATATTGCTGGTATTGTAGAAGAGATGACACTCCAAGAAGTCAAGACATTTGTTCGTAATCACAAAGTACCAGAACCTGTCATAGATCAAATTGTTCGGGATTATTGTAGTGATACATCTGAACAGAAGATTAAGTTGTTTCAAGTCTGGTATCAAAGACATGGGATAAAAGGAGCCTATGGAACCCTAATCAGCAGCCTAAGAGAGTTTAAGATGTGCGCTGCAAGTGACAAAATTGAGGAAAAGATGAAGGCAGCTGTTTCCAGCCATCAGGAAGGGGGACAGTCTTATAATTATGACACTGAGCTAAGCAAAACCTGCACTGAGGAAGGCAGAAACTCTTACAATGATAGCGCTATGCTAAGTAAAACTGACTCTGGTAGTTTGGAAGAGACATAGCAGAGACATTTGAAAATTATTTCTAACTGAATTAGTATTTTTCTAATAATATAAATAACAAAGCTTTTAAATGCCATTGGCAGTTCTGATTGATTCAAGGAAGTTATAATACAAACAAGGAATAATTATGATTTTTGTAGCAATATTTCTCCTTGAAAAAAAGTTTAAGATTTTTTTCATTGTTAAGAACTTGGAGAAGTTTTATGGCCTGTTTACTAAAACATACAATACAAGAATCCAGCTATACGAGAAGAAAGTAGCCGCCATTATTTGAAGAAAAGGTTTAGTCTAAATGTATGGTCCTGCATTAATTAACTGATGTAATGTTTTGCTTACATTAAAATTGTAGGATGTTGCATTTTTCAATGTGAAAACTCTTGTTAAGAGTCTATAAAGTGTACCAGGAAGAATACTTGAACAAAAAGAATTATAACATATACACCTGATTAGTTTTGAATATAGGTGTTGCTGTGTAATTAAATTCTACTCTGTCATAAATAGGATTTCTCCCTTGTATAAAAGCACCTCTATGCGTGTGTATACAGAGTTTTGTATATGTGTGTGTATTTATACGTGTGTATGTACGTGTAAGTTTTCTATGCAAAAGCTCCCAGTGCTAAATAAAAATTATTATTTCCCTTGTTCTCTGCAATGATTGCAAGCCTTTTCTAATGTTAAAACCCTTCAAAGAATCAGGAGCTGAAGCAGCACAGCAGAACCATGATTTTTGGAAGGCAGCCTGCAGAAGCTATGAAGTCTCCATAAACAAGAATGCAGCTAGGTTTTCTACTACAGGAACTGTTACAATGAAAACATCATTGTCATTATAAAAAAAAGAAAAATCCACATAGTGCATGACTTCCATTTCCCCTTCTTATTATGCAACCTATAGATGTCATTTTTAGGTTTTCTTTTACTCCAGTTAGTAAAACACAGAAAGGGAGATCAATCTCATGAAAAAACCCACACCTTACCTTTCTTCCACCACAGAGTGCAGAGGGCTCAGCTCCTAAATTCAAAGACCCAGTAGTGCTGGCTGCTTTGCTGTGAGGCCTTTCCCACTTACACACCTGTTTATGCAAAAATCTCACAAAATCTTTCACCAGAAGAGGAGACCTCAGGAGAAAGGTTTGATTTTTCCAGGTCACGCCATAAGCAGGATGAACTCCTTCTTTGGCTCTGTCATCAGCTGCCTGGAGAGAATCTCCTGCCAGTGTCAAGACTCAGTCAAAACATGAGGACACCTCCCTGGGCTTGCTCCCACCTGCCAGCCATAGTGTGCCGGTGGTGTGGGGCTGGGTCTAATTGCTGCCACCTGGCCACGGGGGTGTGGGCAAGGCAGGTCTGGCAGCAAGGTGCTAGGTGCTGGCAATCAGCCCCCCTGCAACACCGGGTGCCCACAGCCATGTGGGGTTGCTCCAAAAGGTCACATTGCTAGAAGTGAGGTCCCTGGGAGGGCAGTGTGAGGGCCCTTGAAAACTGCTAGAAATCAGTGTATGGCATTAAGTAGGAGCTTGAAAGGAAAGGCAGGACTTAGATTACCTTCAAAAATTTTAAGCCTTTCGTAGTCTTGACCCATCAAAGGTCAGAAGGACAGAGAGCATGTTTTGTTGCCAAGCCCAGACCCAGTTTATGTTGTACAGCTTTTCCACAGGTCTCAAGCACCACATAGATGCTAAGCACTGGGAAAATCCTTCCACTCCACTTTGGAGCCTCCTGCTTCTAACTTTTCTGCATTTTCTAAGCATCTCATCAGTCAGCTTGCCACTAACAGACTGCCAAAATCCCCACAGTGTACTGCTTTTCAAAGGAAAACCTTCAGGCTGCTGTAGCTGGATGGTTTAATAGCCATGCACCAGACTTGTGCACCTGTGGACTGATTAAGGCATAGCATTGTATAGATGACTTGTGTCTGTGCCATCTGTGTTGCCATGTGCGTTGTTCATTGCCATGTTTTGGCCAGGCTCTGTATGCATATGAGAATAAAATACCTGCCTTTTAGAAAAGCAGCATGGCAGTGCAGTGCAGGCTGTGCCATCTTTCCTAGGCTGCAGTTACATAGAAACATAGCCAGGACAGGAAGGAAGGAAAGCTCCATGCTCCCACAAGCCGTGTACCATCCCCCCCCCCCCCGCCCCAGGAAGGCATGAATGTAGCTTAAAGGCATGTTGGCAGGTGCTTGACTTGAACTTCGGCTTTTCTTGGTTTCTGGCTTTATCTCTCAGAGTAAGGCATCTGGCCACCAGAAATGAAGGTTTTCCACCTCTCAGGGCTTCAGTGGGTCAGTTGGTATGACTGATCTGGACGAGTCAGATATTAAAATGGAGGCAACAAACCTCATAAATTCATGGCAGTGAAATAGAATGAGACATTTTTCTTTCATCACACCGGAATTCCCCAACCTCAGTATAATGAGGATGGTTAAAAAAAAAAGTCCTCAAACAGTGAGTCATAGTCTCCTTAGGAGACATCTGCAAGGCTGAACCCAGACTGCCATTAACTGTAGTGGTTAACATACAGCGTAATTTTTTTTTTCCTTAACTGGAACACTGTGCATCAAATAAGATTGATTTTTTGCGCAGCTGGTTTTCCAAACGAATGCATATATGTCTACAGTGCAGTGTAGAGCACTCTGATCAAGCTTAAAGTACCCAGACCACAGACTGAAAGTTGTGCTGCCCCATGGTAAGACACCCAGCTTTCCACTGCCTCCTGCTTCTGGCCTCATTTTCAAACTAGGGCTGCATAGGAAAATTGTCCCAGGCAGTTTATATTAGCACTGTTTCACCTTTCACTCTGAACTTTCATTCTTAGAAGAAAAGTCCACGCAGGGTCTCACACTAATAAGCAAGGTGACTGCCACCGCCTTAGCTGAAGTATAGTTCCAGTATCTTTACTCTAGTCTCTGCACTTTGCACACTTGCCATGACCAGCCTCTTTCTCCCAGATGACAAGGCTGTGTCACAAGCAGCGTAAAATAACTCTTTTCTCAGTTTTAGGCAGGGGAAATAAATAAAAAAGAAAAAATGAAAGCAACAGAAATTGCTTTGAAAACCAAATGTTTCCTGTTTTATGGAAACCCAGCATCAGAAAAGGGGAAACTGAAACAGAAACTTGCTCAGGGAATGACTGGGCACATTTTGAAAAGCAGATTACGAAGGGGAAGCTCCCTCTTCAGGCAGCCAAAACTTTGCCAAACACATTTGTTATTTAAATAGTAAACCCAGAACAATTGTTATTTAAAAATAACAACAATAGAAGAACAGGAACACAGAAATAAAAGGCCAGAAGGATGATCTTCCTTCAAGTCCCCTGCAAATCAAAAGTGACCACACGAGCAAGGGGTCCGTTCAGAAATTCTACAGACTGTTTTGCTGTGCCCCCTCACCCCATCCGCTCACCCACACTGCAAACTGCGGAATAGTTCCTGATGCCCTGCAAGCAAACCAAACCCCCACAAGAAGACAGAAATAAGATCGTTATTACAGTGTGGCACCAGAAGAAAGCAGGAGAGGTTCAAGACAGCTCTAATATACAGGATTGCTGCAATATGAAATAAAGTATTTTAAAAGTTACCCTGCAGGCTGCCAGTTCTTGAAAAGACATGGTTGAGAAATGAAGTTCTGTGTACAAAGAGTCTGAAATGTTTCTGCACAGATAGCACGACAAGCATATTAAAGTGTGAGATAGCTGTAGGCTGATTTCCTGTATGGAAGAGAAGAAAGGAAAACAATACAAATGAGTTTTGTGAGAAGAATAAAACTGTACTGGGAAAAGCATTGCAGTTCGACAGTTTTCTTGTTTTGAGGGAAGATACGACCTCAAAACTCTTTCCTCTCTTACTGTTTGTCAATACTTTGA